AATTTGAAATATATGTTTGCAGACTTCTAAAATGTTTAGCGTTGCTAGATCTAGTCTAAGTATGAAATAATTCTTGATGTAAACAAACACCCCCTTTTTCTGTAACCGGCTGACCTATAAGAACATCTACAATCAGGCACAGCATGAAATTTAGTGGAGACTATACATTTCAATAGTCTCTTTAATGATACCCATAGGAGCCACTATAACGTTTCTATATCCTTCTTCGACAACATTATTCTTATGATGTGGTTTTAATTTATCAATTAAATCTATTTTAATTTTATTACACAGACTACCAATATCGACATACATGGAAACAGTTCTGTTATCGATTTGTGAAGCTTTGTAAACTTTTTTATGTCCGATTGACCAATAAAGTGCTATTTATAGAACAGTTTTGCGTCAATAAAGTAGCACTTTATTGTACTAGTAAAACAAAAGGGCTACTTTATTTTACTAGTAAAATAAAGTGCTACTTTATTGCCTACCTGGACTACCTGATAAGGTGAAACAGGTCCTGACAACCTTCCAAAGTGAAACAGGTCTTGACAACCTGCCAAGGTGAAACAGGTATACCTACCTACGCGAATTTTACTTTTTTCATTCAAATTTTTTAATTTTTAACAAAAACCAGTCAGAATCGTACATAAAATCATGTATATAACGCTTACATAAACAGGCTTTATTGACTCATTATTTAATAGCCTCGCTCGCAAGCTCGCTCGGCCATACAATTATTCGTACAATAAAGCCTTACTTTATGTACTTGTTATATAAATAGCTATATTATCCTAATCACTCGTATTGCATTTCACCCTATGTACCTACAGTTTTGTTTTGATCCAAACAATCCCTTCAAAGGTTTCTTTGGTTTTACAAAAATTACAACTATTTATCCAATCTGCCTTTGAGACAAAGGTACGAATTTGAATACTCCTTCAAAGTGACTATTGCAAGGGATAAAATATCGTACCTGTATTCTCGAACGAGTCAACTTGGTCAACGGATCGAAAACAGAGCAAGGTACGGCTCAGTTTGTAGATTATCAACAGCCCTAAGAGAAAACCCAACCATATTTCAAGCGGAAATATTCGCAATAGAACTTTCGTGTTTCGAAAGAGACCTCTGAAGAGCGCAGATCTTTATCATTTCCGACAGTCAGGTAGCACTAACTCTGTCCAGACAGGCCAACAACTCCTAATACGTGTGGGCACTTTTACCAATTGGGTTGCTGAATTTTCAAATAGAAGCTCGTAACTGGACTAATTGGGTGAAAGATGAACTAAAATTCAACCATATGTCCGCAGAAGTGATTTTTAGTCAAATTACATCGTGATCAGATGATTCAAGATCATCTTCTGTGTGTCAAGAGAGCTCACTGCGAGAAAACACGCAAAGATTTCCATAAAGATTCTACTTGCGTCTCAGTTAAGACAAGCATGTGTGTGATGTGCTCAAGATGTTGGTGCACTGATTTTAAGTTAGCGTTAATACCTCTGATGTAGATTTCCCTCGTACCTACACCCTCCTCCCGGAGATCCAAATAGTAGGGTATTTCACCTCCGGATTTCCTTGCATAAAGGATGTCCATCCTCATTTGCAATCCAAATCAGTGAGGACAAAAAATGAAACAGAAGGATAAAAATAAAAGCGAGAGAGTAATAGAGTGTTGAAAATCAGATGTCACGCTCCAGGTCCAGATAATTTGAATCGAATTTACAGGACCAGAATGGAAGCAAGCGGTAATACTGCTCTCCTCCCACGCCAAGTGATGAAAGATTATGCAAGAAGATGGTCAGGGGTGACCGGATAGGAAAGGTAGAAGAAGAGGAAAGGACTCTCAGATTGGGTAACTCTGGTTCGCCAGGCCCATATTCATTATGCATAGGTATCATTGATATTGATACAATTATTAATAGGTTTAATGAACTGAGTTGGCTACTACAAGAAATCATACAATAGAACGCAAGAAAAAATTATTAAAAAAACAGAAATTGAATCTGAAACCAGGGAGAAAGATGGGATGGGAACTTGTTCGTTGAGTGGGGAGTATTTGGAGTTTCGGGAGTAAGTTTCGTAACCCAGAATGGAAATATTTTTCTCAATATTAGGGGAATAAAGATATCAGATAGATAGGGGATGGCAAAGCATTTTGATGCTTTCTTTTCAAGTAAAACAATACAGTATATCGTTAAACTCTTTTTGGATTTTCAACTCAATCTACTATTCACTCATCATAGCTGCTAGCCCGTCGAAGAAAACCTTTTCGTCTCATATAGGTACCTACCAACAAATAAAAATGAAGTACCGAAAAAATAAATAACTAATTTTTCAACCAGTAGGTGCATTCTTTCCGATTTGGTAAAAATAGCTTTTGCATTTCACATATATATATATATATAGAAAATACTAGACCATCTCTTAGTCTTAGGTGAATGTTTTATATAAAATCCGGTGGGATCCTATCTCGAGAAGGTCCCTCTAGAAAGGGAAAATCGATTGTGAATGCAGCCTAAAAATTCACGGAATCAATAAAAAACTTGGCGAAAGTTGGCTGATTGCTGGTGCCTTCTTTAATTCTTCTCGCACGTTTTACTCACTGAATACCCGATTGATATGTGCAAAGTTGCATGCTCTGACAATGTCAAAATTAACAATAGCTGTAGGTACCCACTCAATAAATTTCAGTGATGAGGTGGTTCAACAGGGGTCTGGGCTAAGACTTTAGTGCAAGGAACTCTGCTGTTCGCGGATAATGGCAGTTTTAACGTAGACTTCTGAGTTCCTTTTTAAAATCGAAGAGAAATTAATCTTGTGGACAAGTATCTGAAAAACCTACTATACTTGCCAGCATGCACAATATATGTGGAAATTCACATAAAAAACAACTTATTCAAATGGAATGTAAAATCAATCAATGGTACAATGTATTCATAATTCCCGCTGATTCGCGAATATGGATTTTCGACCTCTGGTATTGCGTTGAATCGCAATTTATCTAGAAGTGTGAAATTGAGAAACATCCTATAACATTAACTGAAAAAAATATTTGTTGTCAGAGTTGGTACATCGTCTTGAGGATTAGATTACAAGATGATGCATGGGTCTAGTCTAGTCTAAGTGGAAAAATTTTATTCAAAAGATGTATTTTCTTATTATTATTATTGTCATGTTAGTCCAGCAGGCAAGTACTTTCTACTGGAAAGTATTCCGAAGTTGATGATATTTTGGTATGTCATTTGTAGGTAGTCTGTGGAGTGAAATCTGAGTTTACTATAGCATTGCTCCTGAAGTGTCTTTGACCATAAATCACGTAATTCTGGCACACCAATTCAAATGTCGTATCTCTTGATTTGCTCCACACAACCTTATATAGCAGGTACCCACCATCAATAACTGCGCATTTGCTGCTGCCGAAATCTACTGGTTCTTGTATAGGAGTGAATTCCGTGTGTGAAGAGAGAAATCGGGAAGGGGGCTAGCTCGTATTTCAACAAGTTTCTAAAGTCATAATCTGATTGTTTTATTATGTGAATCCGTTGAAAGAGAGTGAGAGGGTCTATTGTGAACTTTTTTCTTTAATTTTCACGCAACAGAAAGCAGATACTAGAGAAACAACCTTATATCTTTCCCCGTCAATTTCATGTCTTAAAAATTCCTTTTTTCCAAACAGGTCTTCATACAGGTGATACTAATAGTTCGAGCTAAGTGGCAGTTCACAACTTCAGGAGCAATAGCTCCTGTGCTTATTGAGAATAGCTCTTTTGTATCCAGGAAAGGTGGATGGTCAGTAGATAGTTGAGTTCAGCACGGATGACGTCAAAATCAAAATCAAAAAAGCTTATTTTCCAAAAATAATTATTAAAATAGGATACACTAAAAAAATAATTCAGGGGCAACAGTGGACTGTGCTTGCACGTGAAAGAGACGAGGATAAAAAAAAAATTATCCCATGCTTCGTTTGAATTAATATGTTCGGACTGGAAGGAATTTTTGACAAGTTGCGATTTTTCTTGTATCTTTGAACCACTGTATCTCGGTTACTATTGCGTTAAAGAATTTTTTCAACCAGTTAAATTTATAGAAAATTTAATTTTCTTCAACTTTATAAATAGATGTATTCCGCTAACAACGATTGGTTCAGAAGTTATGACCAAAAAACTGAAAAAGTTCGAAAGTTTTTAGGTCTTTCGACTTCCCCCTAAGTTAGCACAGGGTCCTCGGGATCGAAAATTTAGATTCTACTCCACAGACTATCCACAAACGACATGCCAAAATATCAATAACTCCGGAATACTTTCCAGCTACCCCCCTTAATCATTACTTGCCTGCTGGCCCATGTAACTTTCTCGTTTTTTTGTTTACAACAAATATTACAATTTTTGGTTACTTATTCTTTATTTTTGTTGCTCTCATTAAAAGTTATGAAGACTAAAAAAGATGGATTTTTCCTCAATTTTCCACATTTGCATGGTAGGTTCTTAATAGACTATGATCATTTAATTGTAGACCTACTAAACTGTTTAATGCACTGTATGATATGTCTCAGACTAAAGGATGTCTATAGATCCTACACGATAAAAAGCTAATTTTGGAACTCATCAGCCTCTGGAAACCGAAACTCTAGGGACATTTGCTATTCCATATACAGACCTGTACTGATGTAAAAAAAAAAACAGGAAACAGGGCCTTCCCAAAAAAATCCAACAATGACCCATTACGAAAATAAGTTACAACAATTAATTATTTAAATATCCTTAATAGTCAAATGGTGTTAAACAAAAGAAACGCCTGAAGATGAATACCGTGGCGTAATTATGGTTACAAAATACTGATCCTTCGTTACGCATGAAAAAAACACCAGTTGTGTGATTTTCGGTGTCGGTCAAACAATAATAAATCATCCCATCAAGAACAAATATTATATTTCCTGAGGATACACCAACCTTTGTTTTAGTTTTAACTTAATAGCCGTCAATATATTTCAGTTTTTGCGAGAACATTGAGGCTACAAGATGATTTTTTTTGGAGTTTTCTTCATTTTCTTAACAAGTAGTGTAAAAAGTGAAAACTGTGGTAAGATATTCACCCAAAACCAATTTATCTTAACCAGCGAAAACTACCCGCAACCATATCCGAACAACAAAGTCTGTTTTTACTTGCTCAAAGGCAACAATAATTGCACAAAAGAATTTCGAATCGAATTTCTCGACTTCGATTTGCCAAAAACAGTGGGTTGCGTTAAGAACAGATTGGAAATCGGAAGTCAAGATGCATTGTGCGGCGCTAAAAATGGATCCAAAGTTTATCCTAGTGAACGCGGGTTGTTGAAATTGAAGTTTGTCTCTGATGGACAAGAAGTGGAGGAAAAAGGGCGTGGATTTAGGCTTTTTGTTACCAGAATTGATAACGATTTTTGTACAGTGGAAACTACTAGAAGTGATAATAATAACGAATTTCCAGGTAGGTATTTTTTCCAAAAAATATATTTAAAAAAAAGTATCACAGTTAATAATATTGATTTGAGTTGGGACAAAGGCTTATTACAGAATTTGAGAAGTTAGTTTTGATCCTGAAAAACGCACATATTGCCACAAACTGTAAATGGTGTCCTATGGATTGTAATAAGCCTTTTAGCGAATCAATGATTTAAGACAATACTAGTTTTCAAAAAAAATATCTGTTTTTTTCAGTTAATAAAATCAACACAACCTATTTACCTCCAGCCTCAAACCCTTGCTGCCTCAACAACATTTTTTCTTCGAAGACATTTTTACTAATCAGTCCTAATTTTCCGTATTCGAATAATCAGGCCAAAAATTGCACTTTTATTATAAGAAAATTCAGCTCATCAGTGTGCAGGCTTAGAATTAAAATACTATTTTTTAATCTTGGACCAGTGAGTGGGAAAACTTGCCCGTATGGTTATCTAGAAATCGATCGGAAATTAATTTGTGGATGTAATGCAGATTTGCAACTTACTACAAATTTCTATGAGGAAAATAAATTTTTCAAGTTTTATAGTGAAGGATTTGGTCTAGAGGGAGCTAATGGGTTTGCATTGGAAGTGGTACAGGATGAGTGTCAGAAGAGATATGAGCCAGAGGATGGCATTGAAAAGTTAACCAAGAACAAGTTTAGGTGAGAACTAGATTGGATTATTTTTCTTAATCAGTTTTGAAAAAATGACCCGTTTTTATTGATTATTGTGGTGAGGTGATTTCAATCAACAATTAATATCAGTGAATGATAAAGCGTTCAACCTTCAATACCGTTATAGATACTAAACTAATGGCTTTAGTAGATTATTCCCACTATCTTCAAATGACCGTTGAATAATTGTTTAGTGCTGTTATTAACCCAACCTCGCCACAAATAATAAAATCCGTCGTTGTTGGCAAACATCTTTACACCCAAAAATTAATAAAACCTTATTTTCCCTTAGAAAATTACAATATTAACCTTTACTTTTTATTTTACAGATTTTACAACGACCAAAACAACAGAATTCAATTTCCAATCATCGACCAACTAAAACTAATCGAAGAAAAAAATTATTATTCAACAAACGAAAATAAACATATTTACTTTTTCGCGCCTGAGGACGAAAATAACAGTGACGAAACTTTGTGGACCCGAGAAGAGGAGAAAGAAAAAACCATTAACAACATAGACATATCGTCAAACATCAACAATATCTTAACAAATAAAAATCGACAATGCTTTAACTGGAACAATAATCAATTGGCAAATTTACAAAAACGATTTGGCCAAAGTTTGACGCAAATGTGTAAATTTGTACAAGATAGTAGGAACGATAATTGCATTATTTTGAGAAACTTGTCCGGCAATTTCCAGAGTCCTGGTTTCCCTGCAACATACCCAGCAAATATGAACGTTTGTTTTAGGTAAAAAAAAATTGTCCATTGATATGTAGCTGTTTAATTTTTTTTTTTAAGGTTTGCCCTATCTCCTGGCTATTGTGCTATTAAAATGTATTTTGAGGAGTTCGATATTGAGAGGAGTTACGATTGTTTAAAAGACTATTTGAGTGTAGATCAGTACAGATATTGTGGAAAATATTTGAGGAATAGACAAGGTTAGTATGTAGGCTGGTTTCTTCATCAATAGTTAAAGTTGGGTTAGTTCAATCCCACGTTAAATTGAGATGATCTGCTGTGATAACGGCTGACATTTAATGAGATTTTTTTTTTTTTAAACTAATGCGGTACGGTTTCAGGGTATTTATGGCCCTTATAAGTTGAAAATAGGAAAGAATTTGCTTCAAATTTAATTTCTATTGTTTTTCTAATTGTTTGCGATCAACTAACATAGTCATCTCTTGACAGGTTATTAGTACTTTATGTATTAACATTGTACCTTTTTTTTCCAAAATCTGTACGGTTTCAGAGATTCAAGGAATACAAAATCACACAAAATATCAAAAAAAAAAAAAATTGTTTCATCGATAATTTAGATTTTGGAAAACTTTGAAAGGTCATAACCGAGGTCATAACTTAAACCACCTTCAAGGTAATTTGCACGTCAAGTGATGTTCCCCAAACGGTGTATATTGGTACTGCCTATAATTTTCAGTACTGTTCGTGCCCGAGATTAGGGTGGAAATGTCCATACTACAAACCTTTTTTTCGATAAATCGCAATTATTAGTATTACCCCCTTAAACCACCTCCAAAGTAATTTGCAACTCAAGTGAGGTTCCCCAAACGATGTATATTGGTACTGCCTATTCGTAAGCAAAAGAAAACTTTAGCCAACCGATAAAAGCTTACGCGACGACTGTTGTTCGCACCCTGGTACCAGGTCCTTTCTTGGTTTTTTTATTTATCTATTGAGAACAATAGATTTGGCGTCAGGCGATCAATAATAGACAAATTCCTCAACAAGGGCTCTTGTTTTGTTTCAGAAGAATGTGCAAAAAAAACTTTTGTCCATCTCCATCAAATACGACGATTTTTTTGATAATGGCAACTTACTCAAACAACTGTATGCACATAAATAATGAAACCGAAATTTAACCGTTGTTAAAAAAATCTAAAAAAGGAGTACCATTTAATAGTGGATCGTTGCAAATATTTTAAAAATTTGATTTCCTTTTTCAGTGACAATTAACTCCTACAAATCCCTGATATTCATGTCGGACGCTAATTACTGTGGAAAAGGCTTCTCAGCGTTGTATCAACAAGTAAGGTGTCAGACACCCGACAACGACAGCAATAATTCGATTAGGCCGTCCATCAACTGTAATCCTGCTGGAGGAAAAAGTGCTGATGGCGATAATAGTATCCCCACTTCCATGATACCTCCTGTTGCTTGCGAAAAAGTTTTTGCTGACAAATACTTTATTATCAGAAATGAATTTGTCGGATCGAATTTATGCTTCTATGATGTTAGAAGACATAATAAGGCAAGTAGATTTGAAAATTATTAAATAATTACGTCCCTGGATAGTCGCAAGTTGCACCCTTTTCCAGGCTGTATTATGAGTTATTATTCCAGGGACGACTAATTATTTCGATACCTACTCAAAGTTACTATTGCTTCTAATAATGGGGCAAAATTAGGGTAGACATTCTTATAGATGATATCTTAGTGCCACCATTTATTTCATAAATACTTTTAAAGTATAAGTAATTATTTGTACCACGGAAATCAAACTACAATGAGAGAATAATGATATTATCTAGGAACACAACAAAATCATACCTAGTTGGTAGATTCAAGTTCCAGGTTCTTCATTTGCCAGATTGAGCTTAATCTGGTAGGCTGTGCTTTGTTCCAATAATAAATATCTTCATAGAACTTGGTTTACAGCACAGTTTTCCACCGTGCATGGGCCGGTTTAAAAACTCTACGCTAGTAATATTCCAAGTCTTTTCTCATATTGAGTCCTCTTGTTTTTATAAAAGAGATTTCAAGATGATTTTGAATCCCATTGTTTTGGTCGCTGTTAACCAGTTGACGATGAGCAATTCGATTGAATCTCACATTGTTTTATGTGGTTGCAGTTCTCTAGTAAAATGAAAGGAAGTAATAATTTATTCTTGAATCCATGCAATTGTATAAACTTTTAAATATTTTTCCCAATTACAGAATATTTGCAAATTACGTCTTGATTTCGATCAGTTCAATATTCCATGCCACTTAGCATCGATAAGAATCAACGGTAGATTATATTGTGGACAAAAATCTGGACAATCAGGTTAGTATTTAATTTATTTTGAGTAAATGAATTTTTAGTTAAATCAAAATATCTTATTATTTCCAGTAATTATTCCAATGCGAGACAATGTGTCGATAGTTTACAAAAATAATGGCCAATATTTAAATCCAGATCCAGATGCGCTTTTTATACGAGGCATGCAAATCGATACAGATTGTGGTAAATAAATTCCGAAATATTTTAAAGTCTTGGTTGATAGAGACCGTGCACACAAATTAATACGTATTTACATGATAAATTTTCTAATTGTTGCAATAATTTATTGATTTTTTTTTTCAGACGTTATTCCAGAAGCAGCTCGTATTGTAAGCCCTGAAATTTATTATCCCACGCAAACAGAAGTGTCGCTTTACAGAAGTGTGAATAATTGATTATAAATTAAAAGAGTCATTGATGTTATATTTGTTTTCAGGTGTTTGTTCTCTTGATTGTGATAAAATCCTTTAACAAACATGATTTGTCAAATTTTAATGAAGTTTATTTTAATCGAATCCCATGTTTTTGAATAATATATTTTTAGATCTGTTTCGTTTGAGGTTAACGACATAAAAAATTTGCTAATTGGGTTTTGAATAAATCTGTGTCATATCCAGTACTGTTATGTATAAAAATAGGAACACAATGGGTCATAATCTGAAAAGTAGATTTAACATATTGTGTAAAACAACCCCTTTTTTTTAAAGATATCAATGGTACTCGGACGACATTTTTGATTGGGATGAAAAAGTCGTATTTTTTAAATCAAATATACGATGTTTTGGTGTATAAGTAGAAAATTATACTTATATCTAGAAACCACAGAGTATCAAAATAAACAGGTAGGAATTTAGAAGAGTTTCATAACTCAGGTCAAAGTTGTAATGTGATGATCACTTTTCAGAAACAAGTGCTGATGCCGAAAGACAGGATTGTACATTGTGATGGTTGGGGTTGTAGATCTCTCAGCACTGCGACCAGGATGTCTATTCTCGAAACCGAAGAACAGCGTTATCATGATCGAGAACCATTGCTCTGGCTTTGTCAGTGTTATGAAAATATGAATATGGGCGACTAAGACAGCACCTTCGTTTTCATGAGAACGCTGCTCCCCGTTTTCGAGAATAAGAACCCTGAATAGATCTATGTATTGTTTTCCTTTATATCTAGTAGGTTCCCAGATTAAGGCAAAGCCTATTATGTTCCTTGGATTGGCTTCTTTCACATCCACAGCCGTTTGTTGTCTCACGTCCAAATAAACATGTCAATGCCAAAATGTACCAAAAGCCCTATCCACTAAATTCGGATGAGATTGTTGAGCTACGTCACTTACGTACCAATGGGTTAACCATTCGTCTACCAAACTGCAGATGAAAATCTGGGACGAAATCGCCCCTAGTCTTAACCTTTGTAGGCGTGATGAATGTACCTGACAAATTTGTTTATTCATAACACTCACATTTGGCTTATGATCAGTGACTATTTTTATAGGACGGCCATAAATAAAATGATTAAATTTTTTTGTAGCACATAAGATGCCAAGCAGGACCCCTAGAGGCATATGCTACAGGTCTTCCGCATTGCATTAAACAACAACCAATACCGTTTTGGGATGCATCTGTGTGTATTGTAATTTCTTTAGTAAAATCAAAGTTCATTAGGGTAGTATTTTTATTAATTTCATTTTTAGTTTCTTGGAGAGCTTTGTCATGAACATCCAACCATTGGTGGTTTTATTTCATTAATGGCTCTCACTTTTTCATCATTAACTTTCCTACCGTCTTTATTAAAAATATGACCCAAATACTTTACTTGAATTTTTCTAAATTCAACTTTGTCTTTATCAAATTTGATTCCTTTTTCCCTAGCACGATCTATCACTCTTTTTAAAACCTCATCATATTCTTCCAAAGTTTTTGCTATTAATAAATCATCAAAATATATTATTGTATTTTTTATGCCACCAAAATTTTTAAAGTTTATTTCCTGGAAATATTCCGGAGCTAAATTTAAGCCAAATGGCAGCCTACAGAACCTATAACAGCCAAATGGAGTTGAAAATGTCAGGAGTTTGCTCGGTTCTTCATAAAGTTTAATTTGGTAAAACCCGTCTTCGAAGTCTAGAACAGAAAAGTATTGATTTCCTGCCAGTTTACTACTAATTTCCTCCAAACTAGGTGTTTCAAAAATATCTCGATCAATACATTTATTTAGTTCGTGAGGATCCAGACACAAGCGTAAGGTCTTGTTAGGGCCGTTAGGGGTTTCAACAATAACTAGTGGATTAACCCACTCACTAGCACTGTTGTGCTGTTTATTTTTTCATCTGCAAATTTTTGCTAAAATTATTAGCTTTTAATTAGTAATTACAGTGTTCAGTTCTAGTTTTCACTAGTGTAGCTTCTCACCTGCTATTAGGTGCAGGTTATATTTAAAGGACTTTGTTTTTTTGCCATAAATTAAAAGTGTGGTTAACTATACCTTCCTCAAGTTTGGAGTGTCGGAAGGCATTCAAGTCAGCTCCAATGGTGGTAAGAAAGGTCAAGGAGCTACAGGCGGAGGTGGATAACCTAAGGAAAGAGATACAATAAGAGCTGAAGTCTGCTCCGGCACAACATGTGAAGCAAATTCTGTATGAGGGCCATGAGCGCTCTATACAAGCAAGAAATCTGATGGTCTATGATGTTCCGCAGTCAGCTGATCCCAACTTATCTGATAAAATCAAGCATGACAGAAAGGTGGCAGAGGAAATATTCACTTTGCTGGTATATGAATCAGAGGTTGATGCCATCGTGAAAGTTATTCGTGTGGGCAAAAAATCAAATGAGAAACCGAGAACTTTGAAACTGATTTGCTGTAATACTGACATTGTCAGAATGGTCTAGGAGGCAGTGACGATTTTCGGCACTTATTTTCCCAGTCAGACAACATGGATAGAATTGTAGGGTTAGTAATTCTAAGCAAAATTCATATATTTTTAGGGGGGTTTTTTCGATGGGTTGAGGCGAAAAATACGTTAGAGCTTACGAATGCACGGCCCATTTTTTTTTCAGTGATAAAAATAGGTCTACTAATGAGAAGTATACTGAAGTTACGTAAAAAAATAGTACGGCTAATCTGTGAGTATGGATAATACGTCTAGCAAATGAAAAATTGAAGATCCGAAAAATTTCAGCCAGACTCACTTTCCACTATCTGAGATAAGCCAAATTGCTATTTTCATATACTTTATGTTTATTTGTAGTAAATGTGAAATAATCATAGCTCGGAAAATAAGCGTACTTGTATTTTTCATTGATCTTGTGAACCCATCCGAAAATTTTTGCGAAACCCAAATATTCTTATTTTGTATCACCAAGAGAACAAACTATTCAATATACACCAACTGGGAAAATAAGTGCTAAAAAATTTCACTGCCTCCTGGACTAGAAAATAATTTCGCTGCAAACAAAAACTGATAGCACGGTCCTCTCCCTACAAGATTAGGTATGATTCCACTAAAATGCAGCAAGCAAGTTTCAAACTTGCTTATGATGAGTTGCAACGTAGGAAGCGTGATGGTGAGGACAACCTTATGATTAAATATAAGAATAGAATGCCAGTTATTGTCGGGAAGAAGGCGCCCCAGGAATAACTAGTTAATACCCCATTGATTGTATACTGTCAAAATGTAAGTGGGCTACGCACTAAATTGGTATCTCTGAAACTGGCTGATGTGAATAATTCATCCTATGATACAGTGGCGTAGTGACGATGCTCCGGGCCCGTGCTCAAAAATTTTACCGGGCCCCTACTCATGCGAGATGAAAAAAATTGAAAAATCAAAGAAATGTATATTTTATTTTTAAATATACCTACAGGGTGAACCTAAAGTATGGAAGCTCGTATGGATTTTTTTGCTCGAGATTTTTTTAAACCAATTTTTTTATAATGCCAGACAGAAATACCCTAAGGGCCGGTTTCTCAGTAGCAAGTTACCTCCGGGTTAGACATAACTCCAGGGTGAACATTGCAACTTCACACGCTTGCTCTAAACTTTAAACCAACCCGGAGGTGACTCGCTATTGAGAAACCGGCCCTTAATGTTAAAGCTTAACTCACCCAATTAGAGGGCAGCACAACAACCCACAACCCAGTGATTGCAGGATCTTGAATTGGCATACCTGGCAATCCTGGCATAATATAAAGTGGTTCGGCCGTACTGATGAATTTTGAAGATATACGATACGCGACAAGCGGTAAAGTCGAAAAGTTTTCATACAAGATTAAAAGAACTCATTATAAGTCCACATAAGAATGTAAGAAAAGAAGACTTTATAGACTTTAACTATACGTAGATATACAGAGTGTTCTGTCCAACTGGTCAAAAATGCTAGAGTATATAGAGGATCCATAGAGAAAAGTAGTTTGAGATAGGACACCGATAGTCGGAAGTGCGTCACTTCCAGAATTCGTATAATGCACCCCCATTTTCTACCTGGAACCACCCAAAAAAGAAGAAAAAATAATTGAAAAAAAATGCTTTTTTTTTCAAATGTTATTTTTTATTTCTTTTGGGGTGGTTCCAGGTAGAAAATGGGGGTGCATTATACGAATTTTTAAATATCATTTCTACATTAATAAGCCCTAAAAATTTGAACAGCCTTTAGCCCTTCAGACGATATGAAAAGCGGTTGTTCAAATTTCAACACCCTGTATTTTGGAAACGACGCACTTCCGACCCTCGGTATTCTATCTCGAACTACTTCTCTATGGTTCCTCTATATACCCTTGCATTTTTGACCAGTTGAACGGGGACACCCTGTAGATATATTATTTTTTATTTTTATATAAATTAGCTTCAAATGTGTAAAATGTATTTTAAAAATAATATTGACATCTAGAACCGGGCCCCTTGAGGTAACGGGCCCGTGTTCCGTGGAACATGCGGAACACCGGTGACTACGCCCCTGCTATGATATTCTAATGCTACTTGAAAGCAGTGGCGTAACTTCAAATCCGGGGCCCCCCCGCAAGGATTTTCCCAGGGGCCCGTCTTTTATGTATTTTTTTTTCTTTCTAATTTTGCTTTATACAGGGTGTCCGTTTTAAGTGATACTACTATTGCTATTTCCGAACCGGTAAGAGGAACGAAGTAGGTTAAATTAGATAAAAGTGGCAGATTTTAGTATCCATTGAAGGTAAGTACACAGGGTTGCCAAATTTTTATTCGTTTCCGAAATATAAGGGAAAATGTGAAAAAAATTTAAACCTATTTAATGAATATTTCAAAATCTATTAGAAAAAAGTGTTCATACAAAAGATTCAAGATTTTTTCTTCTCTATAAAATGGTGTCATTGGGTGGTATGAATAAAAACGAAGTACTTGCTACTACTACAAGTATTAGTATGTTCTACGTAGTATATTTACTTCAAAACGAAGTAGATACTACATTTCGAAACTACCGGAAATTAGTAAATGCTTCTTTCTGAAGTAAATACTGCGAAGCATATACTAATACTTGTAGTAGTAGCACGTACATCGTTTTTATCCATACCACCCATTGTTATCTTCACACGGCTCGAAACAAACTTATAAATAAGCTAATGGCATGGCCAAAAAATGAACTACCTATATACAGGTTTGACAGGTCAACAACAGGCTGATTTTAATGCAATATAATGAAATGTCTAGAAAAACTCGAAGGTTGAATAGAGGACGA